CCACAAATCTTCAGTCTTTTACTTGGCCAATCTAGTTTGACTTCTAAAAAAAATTACTGTTCACCCTGGAGTAATTGATTCAGATTATAAAGAAAAAATTCAAATTATGATGTCATCTCAGATTCTATGGCAATTCACAAAGGAGGACAAAATTGCTCAATTACTTTTTTACGTTACATTTCTATTAACTTCTCTAATGCTGTATGGACAGGTGGATTTGACAGTACAGATCAAAAACAATCCTTATGGACATCATTGATATCTGAATATGCCTGACCAAATATAAATATCAAAGTTAATGGTAAAAGATTTTCTGGCCTCCTTGACACTGGATCTGATATTACTATTATATCCAAATATTTATGGCCCCAAATCCTGGCCTATACAAAAAAATCTCTTGCCAAATTGCAAAAATTTCTCAAACCAAAGTACAAGAGGTTTGTCAGAGTACTCAAATTTATCCATATGAGGGACCAAAAGGCCAACCTACAACATTAAGACCTTATGTGATAGATACACCCCTTAATCTAATAAAAAGAGATTTACTTATACAATGACAAACTCAGATATACATTCCACATTTTCCCTAAGGGCCACTGCTCATTTAACAAACAAAATAATTATTAAAATAACTTAAAAAATGACGAGCCTATTTAGACAGAGTCTGTGGCCTCTTTAAAAAAAAATTACAGGCTGCTAAAAAACTTATAGATACACAATTAGAATTAAAGTATATTGAAAAATCTTGCTCTCCTTGGAATTCTCCTATTTTTGTTATAAAAAAAAATCTCACAAATGGTGTCTCTTAACAGACCTTAACAAAGTTAATGCATCTATGAAACCTATGGGTGCATTACAACCAGAGATCCCATCACCTACCACTATTCCTCAAGATTGACACATTATTATTATTGATTTACAAGACTGCTATTTTAATATACCTCTACACCCTTTAGACTGAGAGAGATTTGCTTTCTCCTTCCCTTTTCCTAGTCACATCAGGCCTCATAAACGATATCAATGGACTGTACTACCTCAAAAAATGATAAATTCTCCCACCATGTGTCAGTACTATGTAGCTAAAGCCCTTGAGCCTATGAAAAAACAATTTCCTGACTTTCTTATTATTCATTATATGGATGATATATTGTTTTTGGCTCTATCTGTTTTAAAAACTCAACACATGTTTGATATAGCTCAACAATGCTTACAACTCTGGGTTAATCATTACCCCTAAAAAAATTCAAACCTCTATGCCTTACCATTACTTAAGACTTGTTGTTAATAGACAACGTATTACTCCCCAACTAACACAGATTCATACTGATAAATTATCCACCTTAAATGATTTTCAAAAACTTTTAGGTGATATAAATTGAATTAGCCCCTCTTTGGACATTGCTAATTGTCAACTAACTAATCTATTTAATACTTTGAAAAGAGATCCTAATCTAAATAGCCCTCAATCACTTTCTCAAGAGAAATGAGAGAAACTCTATTTAGTACAAAATAAACTACAAAAACATTTCTTACCCACATTAGACTAAATTTACCTTTAAAATTATTTGTACTACCCTCTCTTCATTCTCCCACAAGACCTCTTGCCCAACAAGAACACCCAATAAAATGAATCTATACCCATTTTAGAAAAATAAAATCACTTACACCCTACCTTGATTTAATTGCTCTAATCATTATCAATAAAAGAAATAAGACTAAAACTCTAATTGGCTCCAATCCCCATAAAATTGTAATACCTATTAAAAAATCTCAATTCAAAAATACATTACAAACTTCTACTGATTTCCAAATAGCTTTTCTAAAATATTTTGAAAAAATTTCATTTCATTATCCCACTAACAAGCTATGAAATTTCTTCAAAAATACTAAATTTATTATTTCCCACATCATCAGCCCACAGCCTATACCTCAAGCTGAAGTTTTCTATATAGATGGGACTAAAAACACCAAAGCCTCATTCTAGTCTCTCAAAAAATATAAAGTCTTTTACACTAAATTCCATTCTGCTCAACAAAACAAATTATATGCCCTTATTCAAGTTATTTGCCTACATCCCTACCCCATTAACATAGTCTCTGATTCCTTATACTCAGTTTTTGTATTAAAAAATATAAAAACCTCCACCATAAATAACAGGTGGAATTCAACAACTTTTTCTCAAACTACAATCCATTATTAAAAACCACACTTCTCCCATTTATATTACACATATTCGGACACATTCCTGTCTTCCCGGTCAATAAACAGGCTGATAAACTCGTTTCCTTTGCTGCTCCAGAGAAACAACATGCTCTGTTGCACAGTGCTGGCTCTCTACACCAGCTATAAAAAAATCCCATACCGCCAGGCTAAAAAAATTATTAATAATTGCTCTACTTGTAGACCCCTACATCTTCGACCCATTACCTAAGATATTAATCCTCAGAGATTGCAACCTAATAAACTATGACAGGTAGATGTAATTCATTGCCCTAAACTTTCTCCTTCTTTTCTACATGTCTGTATCGACACAAATTCTTATTTTATCTGGGCCACACCTCTTCGCGGTGAAGCTACAAAACATGTTATAACTGTTTTGCTATAATGAAAACTCCTAGTTCTATAAAAACAGACAATGGTCCTGCCTATACTTCAAGTTGTTTCAAACAATTTTTACAAACATTTTCTATTAAACATATTACAGGTATTCCTTATAATCCACAGACACAAGGCATATCAAACAGACACATCACACATTAAAACTACAAATAAAAAAATTAAAAAAGGGGGCATACACAGGAACACTACTGTCTTCCTTATCTAAAGTAGACTTTACTAGATTTCAACATAAGATATTCTCTAAACCTATGACTATTGTCAATGCAGTTTTATTTGTTTTAAATTTTTAAAACTTACTGCAGGGAGATATCTTGGCAAGAGCAGAAAAACATTTTGAGAAACTGAAGGACACTTTTCCTCTACCCTTTGGTACCAAGATGGGTTAACTAATCAATGAAAATCTGGGAAACTAATCTTACAGGGAAAGGAGTATGCTTGTATTTCTCCAGATAGATCCAACAAACTCACATGGCTTCCTCTTTGGAAGATTCGACCTAAGGGGGCCCCCCGGCATTCAAACTAGAGGTGAAACAGTAAACACCCCAGGAGGAAGAAATTCCAATATGAGCCATGATGGCTCTAAAGATCTCCAGAAAGCACC